TGTCCCTCTACAGGAGGAGAATTCCAAAAAGTAGAAAATCGCCCGGGGACGATTTTTGGAAGTATGTTTTAATACCATGTTCGAGCATCGTTTGGTTACGTTGAAAACTTTTCGCCCAAAATACCCCCGTAGGGGGACACGCCCGACATAAGACCACGAGCCCCCGCCGAGCCCGGCTCCGAGCAGCTGGCCCCCCCCCCCCCTAGACGGGGCCAACCTGCGCGGCGGGGTCGCGGCGCCTCGGGCCACCGCGAAAGACGGGAAGCCAGCTTAGCTGCCTCACTGCTACGCCCGTTGCGCAACGCAACACGCACCGTGCTTGAATCGTCCGTGCCAATCTGCTGCGTATTCGCTGAGCGCATTGGCCCCGCGTGTTTGGCGAACGTATCGCGTCATGCCTCTACGTGTTCAGTCCACGTGTTGAGCTCCGTGCCGATGCGCTACGTGTTGCGTATTGCGCATCGGTGCAGCCAAGGGGGCCAGAAGAGGAAGGCCTGCCGGGAGCTTTTGGCTCAGCGCGTCGCACGAGCGGCTCTGGCCTACCGTGCTTTGGCGCGACTCGCTGAGCACTTCTGTGGCCCCCCCTGGCATTAGCGTCCCCGGACTTTCCGAGAGCTCCCCGCCCGTCGGAGCGGAGCGACACGACGTGCAAGGCGTACTGGCGTGTCGCAGTGGGCCGCCGCCGCGATTCGGTAAGGAACAGTCCCCGACCGCATCGATACCGCTGCGCTTCCCTCGTCGCCACACCTGGGCTTTCGCTTTGCACTTCTAGTCCGAACGCGAACGTTTCCCTGGAGAGGTCCGGGAGGAGGAGGAGGAGGAGGAGGAGGAGGAGCAGGAGGAGGAGGGGGAGGAGGGGGAGGAGGAGGAGGAGGAGGAGGAGGAGGAGGAGGAGGAGGAGGAGGAGGGGGAGGAGGAGGAGCGGGAGGGGGGAGGAGGAGGAGAAGGAGGAGGAGGAGGAGGAGGAGGAGGAGGAGAAGTAGGAGGACGAGCAGGAGGAGCAGGAGGAGGGGTTTCTCAGTGTCAGTGCTGGTTTCAGCGGCGAGCGAGGGGGGGACGTGAGGAGGAGAAGGCCTTTTTCATAAGGCGGCGGGACTTCTATGAAACCACCGCGCCTTCTGAAAGGTTTTCTGCGTCTTCGGGGAAGGCTTAAAACACGACGGCTGGAGGACTTCGAGCCATCTGAGAAGGTCAACTAGACGTAAGATCGACCTGTCGCCGGAGTGACCTTTGGTGCGGGCCCAATGGGGTGCCCCGATCGTTGATCGCGAAGCGGTAGCAGCGTCTTGCGCGCTTGTGTTTGGTCCCCCCGCAGCCCCCCCCCAAAGCCGCGCACCAAAGGTCACTCTTGCCTAGGGTCACTCTTGCGTGAAGCCGAGGAGATCCTCCCCTGCTCACTTCCTCCCCGGGCTCGACGCCGATTCTTGTCCCCCTTGGGGAGGAGGGGGTCGAGCCGAGCGAAAGGAGTGGGGATAGGAAAAGGGGGTGGGGTAATTCGGTCGCAAAACATGGAAGTCTGGTCTACCACTTGAATTTTGTCTCTCGCAAAACATGGGAGCATGGTGTACCACTTTAATGTTGTCTCTAGCGTCGATTTAGCGTCGATTAGCGTCAACGAGCGTCGAGCTGGTGTGGGAGGCTCCCATGAGTTGCCACCGAAGCTTGACACAACAATATGCTGCCTGCAGCTGCTTTCGGCCCCGCCGCCGGGCTTCCTTCGCGATAGTTACTTGGGCGCCCCCGGCGCCCCGGGAGGCGCCGAGGAAAAATCGGGTGCGTGAGCTGCTGCCGCCCAACCCCATCTTTTACCATCCTCCCCTCCTCTCTTTCCTCCTCCTCCTCCTCCTCCTCCTCCTCCTCCTCCTCCTCCTCCTCCTCCTCCGCCTCCTCCTAGCTCCGCCCCTCTCTAGCTCCTCCTCCTCCTCCTCCTCCTCCTCCTCCCCCTCCTCCTCCTCCTTGTGCGATCCGCCGGGGGGGGGGGTTGTCCCGAGGTTAGCCCTGAACACGGCAGCCTCGCGCCGCCTCGAGGTTCGCCGAAGGGTCCCAGAGTTCCGACGTTTGTGTGTGTGCTTTGCGCTCTACGTGTCCCCTGGGCGGGCTCTCTCCTCGCACTTGAGGGCCCCCATTGGGGGAGCAGGTGCCCCGCCTCCGCCAGGCAACTGACTCCCCCCCCCGGCTGATTCGCCCCCCCCCCCTCCCCCTCTCCCCCTCCTTCGTGCGACGTGAGGAGGCCTTCCCCCTCTCACGGCCGAGAGTCCACGTTCGTGGGCTCGCGGGCTCGCGGCCGAGCGGCAGCACCGTGCCGTGTGGGGGCGTGCTCGGCGTGGGTGGGCCGGCGGCCGCGCCGCAAGTTTTCAGCCGGGCACGGCTCGGCGCGCGGCACGCCGCGCGCTGCCGCGGCGCGTGTGGCACGGCCCGCACGCTGTCGCGTGCCAGAGTTGCCATGGGCGCGGCACGGCGCGGTACGCGGGCACGACAGCGCGCTCCTTGCACGTGTGGCGCGGCGCGGCGCGGCGCGGCACGACAGGGCGCGTTTTGCACGCGGCACGGCACGGCACGGCGCGTCGCGCGGGCGACGGCGTGGCGCGGCACGCGCGTCGCGCGGGCACGGCGTGGCGCGGCACGCGCGCCGCGTGCTAGAACTCCGGCGCGGCATTGTCTTGCGCGCGGGTGCGACAGGCCACGTGGTTCAAATGCTCGAGCTCAGGCGCGGCACGGCACGGCACGACGACGGGGATGAGAACATGGAGGAGGCGGTTGAGGACACCGACGAGGACCACCCTCTGTCGAGAGAGGTGCTTCCTGACCTCCGCAGATCATCGATATTATCCAACCGTGGCCTCTTCGGCTCCTGCACTGCTCTGTCAGACTTTATCCTTGCGGGGTCGGGTGGACCCTACAGGGAGGGTGGGCGGGTGGGCTCTAATGAGCGGTGGGGACGGGTCGTGCGGTCCCTGCCTCGGTTGGTCGGATCTGGTGGGCGGGTCCCCGTTCGGTCGGGAGGATCGGGTCGAGCGGAAACATTCTGGACGGGCTAGTCACGACTAAACGAGTTCTGTGCTTGCGCTTGCCCAACATAGGGATAATATGTACGAGCGCACCGTAAATACTCACATCGGCGACCACTCGGTCACAAGCCCTGCCATTACGACCATCCTTCGAGTGACAAGGAGGTTGTGGGGTTGGGGGGAAAACCAACTGCTGGCATTTGCGATGGGTGTGGTGATGACGATGCTGGTGACACCCCCTCGAGTTCGCGACGACGCGTGATGACGATGCCGCGCTGAGATTGAATGTCACTATCGCCCCCGCTCTCTATCCCACAATCAATCTCACAAACAACTTTTGACTTCACTATCCATCCATTCGAGCGAACTCAGTATCGATCTCACCATCGGCTTCACTATCGATACTCAGGCGGGACACCCCTGGCCACCGCGCGCCCACCGCCGACGGAACACCGACGGAACACCGACGGGACACCAACGGGACATCTGGGGGCGGATGGGCGGTCCACTGCATCCGAATCGCCCTAGCGACGGCGGGGTTATTCCTCTCGCGTGCCCAACCAGCTTCACCTCGCTCGCACGCGCGAGGAGCACACGAACACGAAACCGGAACCGATTCCCCTGTGGGGGGCTCTCTTTTCCACTGCGACCTCAACCCCAAACCCCCGATGTCGTATCAGTCCGGTGCTCGCAGAGCTAAAGAGAGGGTGCGTACGAGTAACTATACCATTGGCGTGCACTATGAAGCATGAGACGCCTGAGTGGTGCGCCACAAAGAGCAGATGGGCGTATGTAGGATGCCAACGAGCTAGTCCACGAAGTGTGTGAGGGTTGCTTCTGCACTTCGCCAGAACTTGTTCACGGCCCGGTGGCCCCATGGCACGTTCTGTTCTCCATATTTGGAGCCCGTGCCGAGGTAGAAGCTCATGCTGCCTGATTTACATCGCCTGATTTACATCGCCAGATCTCGAGAGGTTTTGGTGGGCACAGGAGCACACGCCAAAGAGGGATCGGCAAGAAGAACACAGTGCCCCCTCGGAAGAGTTATTCGAGGAGTGTACACAGGAAGAGCAGAACGAGAAGAAGGGGCGTCTGACAACTCCTCATGGCAGGAAAAAATCGGAGGAGGACAGGACGAAGTGGAAGGGTGATGATTTCAAGAATGAGGACAGTGAAGATGCGAATAATGCTAATGATGGTGGTGAGGACGACGATGGTGATAGGGATGGTGATGGTAATAATGATGGCGATGCCGAGGATGAGGATGAAGATGAGGACGTGGACGAGGATGGTGCTGCTGATGGCGATGCTGATGATGATACTGCTGCTGCTGATGATGAGGAGGAGGAGGAGGAGGAGGAGGATGGTGTGGGTGGCGACCGAGGCCACGCGTGGAAGACAGTGAGCCCTGGCGGGGGCGCTCAGCTGGACAGGCGGCCGCCGCCCGCGGGGCAGTGCGGGGGGCGGGCTGGCGGGCCGGCGGCCCCTGCTGCCGCAGCGGCAGGCACCAGCCCTGCATAGGACCTCCTCGCAGGAGTGGCGTGAACCAGTCCATGCAGCTTTCCAGGAATCGTGGAACGCATCCTGAGCCAATCGCGCCCTGGCCCCGGCCCTGGCCCCCAGCCCCAGGCCCCAGCCCCGGCCGTGGCCCCAGTCTCGGCCTTGGCCCTGGCCCCATCCCTGACCCTGGCCATGGCCCCTGCCGCGGCCCCAGCCCACGTCACAACAGAGCCCTGGAGGCTCCCAAGAGAGCCCCAAGAAAGGACCCAGAGCGTTAGCGTCGTCGTCGTCGCCGCTGCCGCCGCCGCCGCCGTCATCGTCGCCGTCCCCCTACAGGGTGGGCGGCAGCCGGGCTTCCCAATAAATAATGTAACGCATCCTGAGCCAATCGCATCATGACACCATTTTTCTTCTTGACGGGGAAAGGGTGGGATGGGGAGGGGGAGGGCTGGGACAGGAGCGCTCCTCTGTCCTTCTGATGGGGGCGCCTGCATGCCAGGGCGGGCGCAGCTCACAGAAAGGCTGGCTGGGACGGTGTCCAACCGATGCTGAGCGATCATTTCGAGGCCTCCCAAACGGGGCCCGGGTAGATGGGGTCGATGGATCGAAAAGACGCCGAAGCATCGTCGAACCGCAGCCTGCGGGCTCCAAGATTCCCCAGTGGTCCTGAGTGTCGTCCTGTCGCGTCCTCGACACTTGGCGGCAGCAGATCGCCACGGATACATAAAGGCGCTCGCATATAACCCATATGGTCAACCACATCATGCCCACATCACCTCGCACATAACATAGGTATCACACATATGATGCACGCTTTGCTTACATGGCGAGCGAGCATGATTAGTGCTTAGATTCGTAACCACTAGAGCGAATAACACGCGTACCGACCCGATCGAACACACACATGCCAATCGCATGCAACCATACCACGCACTAGCAGCATATGCATACATACATACTTCACATATTGTCGTGGACTAATCGGGGGAGCGTAAGACCCGGGTTTGCCAGGACTCGGGTTCGCCATCGTTTTTTGACGACCGCGATTCGGATTTTGACGAGTAGGAGTTTCGTGGGATGTCTGCAACGGGAGGCCTCGTCAAAATGCAGGCTCGGCCTCGTCATTTTTTTGACGAGCTCGTCGGGGATTTCCGAGTCCCCTGTACCCGGGTCTCACGCCCCCCTGAACTAATGTCTTTTTATGATCAGCAATTGTGCACACCAGGCGCAGGGAGCTTGCGTATAGCTACGACGTGAATATAAAGCTTATCGTCAGCACGCCATCTCACCACGCCCCGCAACGTGTAGACATGGACACAGCACTCGCAGAGAGTTGGCACTCATATTAGAAACGCTCATGGAACTCATGCGTACAGCGAGCGCATACACTGCATAGAAGTCGAGTGGCCTTCGGCCCATCCCGCCGCCGTGACTGTGCTGTTGAAGTCAAGCCTCGTAGAGGCTGCTTCTAGGAATCTTGAAAGGTCTGTTTGGTCTTTCGTGACCTCTTGGAGGTTGGTTGAGCGTTCTTTGCTATTTCCTGGGGTACTCTCTGGGCCGCTTGAGGTTAACTTTGGGGCCCGCTGGCGGTCTAGGGGCCATCTTTAGTTTTATAGGGATCGAACTGTCTGGGTGCTCTCAAGCCTCGGAAACTGCGTATGTTGCATTCAAGTCATTTTGAGAGATTGTGGCTTCTCGGGCCGCGCCCCAGGGCTTCCAAGACCATCCGAGGGGCTTCCACGAGGCTCCAGGACTGGCAGAGGGGGGCATCTGAGGCCATATTGGTATGCGGACACCCCGCCACGCTCCCGCGGCCACATGAACAATCATGCGGCAAGCCCCGGGAGCGCACGGCCATGAATTTCCAGGACTCCTTGAAGAATAGGTCGATCCAACCCCCTGCGCAGATACAGTCTGACCGAAGTATAAGATCAAGGCCGGTTCGGGGAGGGTGCCCTAATGTTCTTCGTGCTTATTGGATGTTCTTGTGCATCCTGGGGAGGGTACCGTTGGTTGTTCTGTGTGTGTTGGCCTGCGGAGGGTCTCATGTCGTTACAGCATGTTCAGCCCCCCCCCATCCAGAGATCCGATCTCTGCCGACTGTCTCCAGCGAGCTCATGAAGTTTGCGGAGACTTTTTGGCAGGGCCGCGCCAAAAACACCGCCGAAACCCGCCCTCTCGAGGAGCGGGATGGTGATCTTTCTTCCGGGTCGCGGACGGGGCGGAAGGGGCAGGGTCCGTCTAGATCCAATTGATCCGATTCGATATCGGTTCTTGCTGGCTCGATCTGCGTCTAGTCCGATGTGCCGACGATCTGGTTCGGTCCGATGTTCGCAGGTCGTGGCTGTTCAGCCTCCCGCGGCCCATCCCATTCGTTTTTCGATTCAGTGAAGATGCCACATTCCGATCTGATCCGCTCTTCCGGTTCGATGTCGATGCATCCTGCTACGACGCGGGAGGCCTCCGTGAGGCCCTTGCATGGAGGTGTCCTGAGTCCACCAGAGGTTTGGGATCCAGCGCGTATAAGCTTGTGGAGGCTTGTGGGCCCCCACGGCGGCGCCTCCGGCGCCGCCCCTGGCGCGCTCCGCGCGCCAGGGAGGGGGGTCCAGCGCAGATCAAGAAATCCGCGCGGAGCGCCAACAATTTGTGTTTACGGCGTCCTTTTCTTCGTCGGAACAACACGATCATCCAGCCAGTGATCGCAGACACCCGACGTCGCGACGTGTGTTTATTTACAGCGTGCCCCTGGAAAAGGTGTGGGCCCCTCTCTGCAGGGCCAGCTTCTCACCCCGGGCAGCGTGTTGACGACCCCCGGGTCCAGCAGGGTCCCCCAGGGGTAGAAAACAGCTAGACACGGCCCCGTCGTGATTTCCGAAGAAGACAAAGGCATAAGCATAAACTTTTGGCGCTCCGCGCGGATTTCTGGGATCTGCGCTGGGACCCCCTGGCGGCGCTGGAGGCGTCGCCCCTGGCGCGCTCCGCGCGCCAGGGAGGGGGGTCAAGCGCAGATCCAAGAAATCCGCGCGGGGAACCAACAGTTTACTAAATTGCCTCAGTATTCTTCTTCGAGACCAGTTTCACGGCGAGGGGGTTGCCAGGCGCAGGGTAGCAAACGTTAACATAAACGGACCCAGCCAGTGGTGGGCGTCTTTATGATGAGAATGACGACGACGACGACGACGACGACGACGACGACGACGACGACCGCTGTGCCCAGCCGGCCCCGCCCAGGGGCGGCCTCCTCGCGCTGCTGGTGGAGCTGAGCCCGGAGAGCCGGGCGGACCCGGAGGCCCCCGCGCGGCCCGGCTGCCGCACTGCCCTCGGGCGACGCACAGGGGCATCGGGCATTGGCCAGCCCTGTTCAGGTAGTCGTAGTAGTAGTAGTTGAAGTAGTAGTAGCAGCAGTAGTAGTAGTAGTAGCAGCAGTAGTGGCAGTGATCGTACTAGTAGTAGTTGTTGTAGTTGTAGTAGTATTGGTGGTGGCCGTAGGAGTAGTAGTACTAGTAGTAGTAGCAGTAGCAGTAGTAGTAGTAGTAGTAGTAGTAGTAGTAGTAGTAGTAGTAGTAGTAGTAGTAGTAGTAGTAGTAGTAGTAGTAGTAGTAGTAGTAGTAGTAGTAGTAGTAGTAGTAGTAGTAGTAGTAGTAGTAGTAGTAGTAGTAGTAGTAGTAGTAGTAGTAGTAGTAGTAGTAGTAGTAGTAGTAGTAGTAGTAGTAGTAGTAGTAGTTAGTAGTAGTAGTAGTAGTAGTAGTAGTAGTAGTAGTAGTAGTAGTCGTAGTAGTAGTCGTAGTAGTAGTTGTAGTAGTGGTAGTTGTTGTAGTAGTAATAGTAGTAGTCGTGGTGGTAATCGGAGTACCAATCGTAGTATTAATAAAAGTTGTAGTAGTGTAGCAGCAGTAGTAGTAGTACTCGTAGTAGTAGTAGTAGTAGTAGTAGTAGTAGTAGTAGTAGTAGTAGTATAGTAGTAGTAGTAGTAGTAGTAGTAGTAGTAGTATCGTCGTAGTAGTATTATTAGTAGTAGTAGTAGTAGTAGTAGTAGTAGTAGTCGTCGTCGTCGTAGCAGTACTGGTAGTTGTAGTGTTTTAGCAGTAGTAGTAGTAGTAGTAGTAGTAGTAGTAGTAGTAGTAGTAATAATAGTAGTAGTAGTAGTAGTAGTATAGTAGTTTCGTCTAGTAGTAGTAGTGTAGTAGTTGTAGTAGTTAGTCGTTGTAGTAGTCGTAGTAGTAGTATTAGTAGTAGTAGTAGTAGTAGTAGTCGTAGTCGTAGTAGTAGTGGTATTAGTAGTAGTAGTAGTAGTAGTAGTAGTAGTAGTAGTAGTAGTAGTAGTAGTAGTAGTAGTAGTAGTAGTAGTAGTAGTAGTAGTAGTAGTAGTAGTAGTAGTAGTAGTAGTAGTAGTAGTAGTAGTAGTAGTAGTAGTAGTAGTAGGAGTAGTAGTAGTAGTAGTAGTAGTAGTAGTAGTAGTAGTCGTGGTAGTCGTAGTTTTAGTGGTAGTAGTAGTAGTATTAGTAGTAGAAGAAGAAGTAGTAGCAGTAGTAGTAGTAGTAGTAGTAGTAGTAGCAGTCGCAGTCGCAGTAGTAGCCGTCGTCGTAGGAGTAGTCGGTGAAGAACCGCAGACGTTTGGCTTTCTTAGGGGAACTTCCCGTAATGGAAGCATTGTCAGGTATGGTTCTATGAAGAAGGAACTCGGGTGGAGGGTCCATTCCAACATCGTGGAGGCGTCTTGGGTTTTCATTGGGCGTCTCGTCCTCCTCCTCCTCCTCGTCCTCCTCCTCCTCCTTCTCCTCTTTCTCCTCCTCCTCCCCCTTCTCCTCCTCCTCCTCCTCCTCCTCCCCTTCTCGTTACCTCCCCGTGGGGTGGCGGGGCGACGAGAAAACTCTGCTCCGCGCCGCGCGAGGAGCAGACCAGGCTGAGGGGCATCGTGGAGGACCGCCGCAGCACTGGGGACGCTGCGGCGAGGGAGCGGGCGAGGCAGGGCGGGGGGAGGAGGAGCAGGGGCAGGAGGAGCAGGGCGGGGGGGCTGCGCGCTGGACTGGCACGTCGGCCTCCACGAGGCGCCCCACTGCTGCAGGACATGTGCTTGAGCTCTCGCTTGCAGGCTGCTGCGGGCGTGGTCGTGCGCCATTGCCTGGGAATCCTGGGGTGGAACTTTGCCACTGGGGCCTTCGGTGGAGCTCCCGATGGGGCCACGAAGCGTGTGAGGGTGTGCCGACATGGAGGGTGCAGTGTGCGAACTTTGCCACTGGGGCCTTCGGTGTGAGCTCCCTATGGGGCTTCGAAACGTGTGATGGGGTGTACCAGCATGGGCGGGCAACCTCATGCGAACTTAGCCAGTGGGGCCTTCGGGGGAGCCCCCTACGGGGCCACATAATGATTGAGGGGTGAGCCGAGATGGCGGGGAACCGCATGCGAACTATGGCAGTGGGGCCTTCGCGGGAGCCCCCTTTTATGGGGGCACGAAACGTGTGAGGGGTGTGCGGACGTAGACATTGCCTGGCCCACGCGGGTGGCGCTATTGGCTTGGAGACAAGCCACTTGCGTCGCCGCCGAGAGACAGACTAAAGCACACAAGTGAAGATCAGTCCCAAACCAGGATCCCCAGGCGGGTGGGTACTCGGTGGGCGGGCGGCACTGTAGCCGGAGAGGCCCTGAACCACCACCATGGGCAGTGCAAAAGAGAGGGGCCAAAGGCAGGAAGCACCGACGCGCTGGGCTGGACAGAACTGGACACCACTGCGGCATCGAGAAGAGCGTGCAGGAAGCGGCAGGCGCCGAAAGAAGAAACACGCAGAGAGAAAGCCCGAACAAGTGCTCACTCATAGGATGCGTGAGCGGGGTGGGGTCCCGACCCCGGGCAGGGGGACACACAGTAGAAGCACAAAAGAATCGCGACTGGTGGCGGCCCAAGAAAGGAGACCTGTTTGAGCAGCGCGCCCCGCACGCGACTCGCAGTGCCTTGGCTGCTCTGAGAGCGCCGGGGTCAGCCAGGGTGAGCAATACTTTCAACATTCGCTCACAGCAATTTCAGAGGATTGGTGACCCGCCTCCGAAGCGAAGGGGGGGAGACCCAGTGCGAAAGCGAGGGGGTTCGCCGCGCCCCTATCCGAAACGATGGTTTGGGCTGCTGGGTAAAAGCACCATGTGGACCAGCACATGACAGCAAGCCAAGTACCGTAAACGAGGCGAGTGCGCTGCCGAAGCCTCGCGATGCCACTGCTTGGCTCCGGCCACAACTGACTGAAGGCAGCAACCAGCAGAGCAACACAGTCAGAGCGACCCGCGCGGGTTGGACGCCACAGTAGGACCAAGCAGCAAGGAACCTGGACATACCTACGACCAGCCAGATCATTCCTGCAGAAATGGGGCCATGAATGAGACTCTAAGATGAGAGGGCAGGCGTGCAACATGCAACAGGGATGTCATAGGGCTATGCTGTCAATCTCTGGACATATGGTGGGACTCCGGCATTCTGCGATCGAACCAATAGATCAGATCATCTTTTTTCATTTTGAGGAGATTCCTGAATCCAACAAGCACGGCACCTGGAGGATCTTACCAGCCTGCAGATCTTGGCGCTGCGCCAGCGTCCATCGTGTGTGTTGACCCCGCAGAAGTGACACGTTGGTCGTCCCTGGGGAGCGCATGTGAGACGATGGAACCACACACTGCTCGCTTGCGTAGCGGGTCAAAACCTTTTCTCTTGCACGATCTGCATGTCGGAGGCTGTACAGAGCTAACAAACTCTCACCCTCATGCCGCTGTGGTTGCAGAGCAACCGCCTGGGAAGCAAGGCACACGGGCAGTGGAGGCCTCTTCATGCTCTGGCAGCGCGCCGGAGTGCATTGCAGTCTCGCAGGAAATGCCAGCCAGCCAGCCCTGGAGATACGCATCGATGACTCCGTCACATAGCTCCTGGTGAGCCTTTTCCGCTGGCAGCATGCTCCTCTGACACCCAACGCTCTTCTAGCGAGGACGAGACAGCGCGCTCCTTGACATAACGTCGGGGCGGTGTATCGGCGCAGCTGCAAGACAGCACAGCCATGTCTAGCTGCTCTTGCTCCGTATCACTTGTACCACCCTTGGGGTACAAATATCGGCTCCATTCGTGGACCTAGCGGATCTGGAGCGCGACTTGGGGCGGCCCATTGGGCGCGAACAAAGATATTGGCGAAGCTGACCGTCAGAGCAAGCTTGCCTGCTGTCAGAATTGCCTGCCGATACAGCGTTCAAGGTGTGGCGCCCGGCAACAACCTCTCGATGAGATCGGGGGCTAGCCGGCGGAGTCGAAGCGGGGCGTCTCAGCAAGGCAGGCAACGGAGCGTCTTCTGAAAACGAAGCTCTGATTCGCGCGGGCAGTGAAAGTCTTGTCAGAGTCACAAGTCAAACGGCTCCAACGGCTTTGACGATCTATGGCGGGTGATATCTCTGCTGGGGAGGCTTTGGTCGCGCAGCACTTGGAGACGAGGCCACTGGGCGGCAACGCGTGAGCAGGCGGCGAAGCAGCGGGACCGTCTCTATGTACGAGTACACAAGCATACTGTGCTAGGGAAACGAAGAATAGCATAACCATAACAACTCGGAGGGCCGCGCGAATATCTTGGATCCGCGCTGGACCCCCTCCCTGGCGCGCGGAGCGCGCCAGGGGCGGCGCCAGCGGCGCCGCCAGAGGGCCTTAGCGCGGGTCCGAGAAATCCGCGCGGACCTCCGAGCTTTTGTGTCTATGTCATTCTTCGTTCCCCTATGGTCACATTGAGCGGAAGAGGAGCGGTTCACCGCGTGCGTATCGTCCTTCAGCTGGACGCTCGGCAGCTGGTGGTGCGGGTGGCGGTGGGCACCGTGGCGGGGGCAGGGGTGGCGCAAGACTCAGCCTCCCAGGGGGGGAGGCGTCGCAGACCGCATCGGCGGCAGAGGCCACTGCGGCGCCGGCGGAGCGCCCTGCCCCGCTGGCATGCCAGACCTCGGAGGCAGAGGAGTCAAGGGACAGCCTCTGCCTCGCGCCCTGTCCATGGCGGCGCGGCCACTCGCCCTCGCGAGCGTGCGCGAGAAGGGGGGGAGCGCAGCTGCGGCTGCGGCTCGAGCCTGGGACGGGAGGAGGTGCGGGAGGAGTGGGCGGAGGAAGGAGGAGGAGGAGAAGGAGGAGAAGGAGGAGGAAGAGGAGAAGGAGGAGAAGGAGAAGAAGGAGGAGGAAGAGGCAGAGAAAGAGAAGGAATAAGAGTGACAAGGAGGGAGGGAGGAGGAGGAGGAGGAGGAGGAGGAGGAGGAGGAGAGGAGTGATGAGTGATGCGGGGGCGCTGCCTCTTCAAAGCGACGACTAAACACCACAGAATGGTTTGGGATAACAACCCATCTATAGTGCACTTCGATGCTACCATTGGATCATGCGCTGCCGCCCCGCGGAAACTGTCCATAGGTTATTTGACACGAGCGGCGGGGGTGCTGGCATATTGCCTGTTGGCTGCGAGCCCACCAGACACCATGATGGCCACCTCGCCGCGATTGCGCTCTGGTCAGTTTTCCTATGTGCGCCGCCACGTGCGCGGGCGCACCTGGCACACTCTGCGCGTGCCCGAGCCGTGTCGCACATGGCGCGGCTGGAACATGCGGTACTGCACGCATGGCGCACATGGAGCACGTGGCGCATTTGGCGCAGCAGACGTGCTTGGCACGCATGGGCCCTGGGGTTGCCTGGCGCACTTGTCGCGCGTGTCGCGCTTGGCCCGCGTGGCGCAGTTCGCCCCAGCGTCGCGCACATGGGGTATGGTTTGGTTCCCAGTAGCTGCCCGTCCAAAGACGACCCCTGAACATGATGAGGCTCGTGTGCGAGTTGTGTGTTGTGAGGACGGGTGGGAGTGAGCGAGACGGTTTGCGTTCGGGGAGGGTGTCTCGACCTTCCGCGCGTCCCCTCCCTCTGGGGGTCTGGATGGGAGGGGCGGCGAGAGGTCAGAGCGCCCAAGACAGCCCAAGAAAAGATGGTTCCAGGAGGGGGCCTCAGGGAGCCAATGATGACCTCCTCGAAGGTTCCAGGCTAGGGTAACGAACAATGATATAAACATACAATCTCGGAGGTCCGCGCAGATTTCTCGGATCGGCGATGGACCCCCCTTGCTGGCGCGAAGAGCGCGCCAGGGGCGGCTCCGGAGATGCCGCCAGGGGGCCCCAACGCCGATCCGAGAAATCCGCGCGGACCTTCGAGATTTTATGTGTATGTCATTCTTTGTTTCCCTAATCATGGGCTCCTCGATGCAAACAGCGCAAACTCGTTCAAACTAGCTCCGAACGTACGCCGTGAGGTCCTCAACTCCAGGGCGGTCCCTCGAGAAGCCAATGCGCCTCTCGAGGCGGCCCCCCAAGAAGCCCAAATCCTTCACACACCCAAGCAGGGCTGGACCTAAATGCTGTTTTGCTGGACTTCGGCTATATCATGTTTTTTGTTTTAGCAGGTAGAGCAAAACGAACAACAATACGAAATCATAACGAAACACAACGTTTAGGCCCAGCCCTGCACCCGAGGGGCATCAAGGATTGTTGCCTTCTGGCCCCTTCGCTTCTGGATGTCCCTGCGAAGGTTCAAGGTGGCTCCAATAGAACCCAGGAGAACCTCAGGAGATGCCCAAGAGAGCCCCAAGACGGCACCATGAACGCCCAAGAGCATTCCAAGAGGAGTCCAAGAGGCGAGCTTAGGGGCCCCGAGGAGCGAGGCTAATTAGGCCCTGCCCTGCCTTGGTCGAACTCATCCAAGATAGCCCCCAAGACACCCAAGGGTGCCCCTATAGGCGCCCAGGCGGCCCCAAGAGGCCCCAAGATGCCCCCAAGAGGTTCCGAAGAGGCTCCCAAGAGGCCCCAAGAGGCTCCCCCGAGGCACCCGCGACGCTCCAAGAGGCCCCCGGGTCCGCCACGAAGACTCCAAGATGCCCCAAGAGGGCTCCA